AAGGGAGCTGATGTTCATCACCCAGGACCTCAAGTGGGAGCGGAATGACTCCACAGTGTCGACTGGGGAGTCATACAGGGTGATGGGGGTGGGCGGGGCTGGGTTCTTCCTGAAGTCTACAACCATCTCAACTGTCTTGAAAGCGTTGAGCTCCAGGTTGTTCAGCCTGCACCAGGTCACCAGCTGGTCAATCTCCCACCGGTAGGCAGACTCATCCCCGTCAGAAATGAGTCCATTGAGGGTGGTGTCGTCCGCAAACTTCAGGAGCTTGACGGACTGATGACTGGAGGTGCAGCTGTTGGTGTACAGGGAGAAGAGCAGAGGAGAAAGAACACAGCCTTGGGGGGATCCAGTGTTGATAGTCCGGGTGTCAGAAACATGTCTCCCCAGCTTCACGTGCTGCCTCCTCTCAGACAGGAAGTCAGTGATCCACCTGCAGGTGGAGTCAGGCACACTCAGCTGGGAGAGCTTGTCCTGTAGCAGGGCCGGGATGATTGTATTGAAAGCAGAGCTGAAGTCCACAAACAGGATCCTGGCGTAGGTTCCCGGGAAGTCCATATGCTGGAGGGTGAAGTGGAGGGCCATGTTGACAGCATTGTCTACAGACCTGTTGATTCTGTAGGCGAACTGCAGGGGGTCCAGGAGAGGGTCGGTGATGGCCTTGAGGTGTGACAGCACAGGACGCTCAGAGGACTTCATTACCACAGAGGTCAGGGCGATGGGTCTGTAGTCATTAAGTCCTGTGGTCCTTGGCTTTTTGGGGATGGGAATGATGGTGGAGATCTTGAAGCAAGCTGGCACATGGCATGTTTCCAGTGAGGTGTTGAACATGTGGGTGAACACCGGAGATAGCAGGTCGGAGAAGTGCTTCAAGGTGGATGGAGAGACAGAGTCTGGTCTGGCTATTTTGCGGGGGGTTCTGCCTCTTAAAGAGACTGTTGACCTCCCTCTCCTGGATAGTGAGAGTAGTGGTGGGGGAGTAGGGGGCCATAGGTGTGGGCAGTTGAGGGGGACAGCAGGCCCCTGCTGAGGTGGGGGAGGTGATCGCGGGGGATGGTGTCCGGACTGTCCCATTGTCTTTCAGATCGACAGTAAAAGTTGTTAAGTTAGGGGATTGGTGATGTCTTATAAAACAAGTTTTCTGCTGTCCTATCGGACGTACGGAAAGCACAGGCACACACAGGGCCTCAACACCCCTTCCTTTTTATTTTCATTTTTATTTTCAACACAGTCCACCAGCCAAGAGTTATGTTAACACAGTCCACCAGCCAAGAGTTATGTTTAACACAGTCCACCAGCCAAGAGTTATGTTGGGGGGGTTAGGTTTGTAGTTTGTAAACTGTTACCCCTTTCCACCAAAGCAGTTCCAGTGCTGGTTCGGGGCCAGTGCTGATGCTGGTTCTCAGTTGGTTCACCTTGCGAACCAGCTGAGAACCGATTTGCTTTTCCACAGCTGGAGGTGGTTAGGGTGCCACGTCGTTGCGTCACTGTATATGTCACTGTATACGTCAGTTAGGTCGTTGCTTAACTGGCGCCGAGCTCGAGGGAACAACAATAACAACAACAATGATGGCGGACCACGTATTTGTGCAGCTGTTGCTCCTGGCTCTACGAGGCTTCATCGGCATCCACACACGGCAGATACATCGTATTTGTGCTGCTCGACAGCATTTGTATGGACGGCGATTAAGTTCCAGAAGACAGGTAAAAACCTAACACGCAGTTTGTCTCTTACTAACACTGAATGTGAGATTGCTATGTTAGCCTTTGTTGTAAGCTAACGTTAGCTGGCAGAGCACAGCTAATTCACAATGCAAATGTGTATGTGTACTTATTTAGACAACTGAGGGCTGGTTTATTGTAGTTTCAGTTGGACAAAAGAGGATGCTTAGCTCTGAAATGAACTCTACCATTTGAAATGCATGTAAACATAAACACAATAAAATACTGCGGTTATCCTATCTGGCACCGGAGACTTCCAAAAACCTGTACTTTGACTCTTTAAGTCTTGTCCCCACTCCTGAACGCCTCTTCCTTCAGCCTCCTCAACTGTCTGAGTTTAGGACTAAACCAGGGTTTGTCATTGTTATACCTCACCGTAGTGTGTGATGGTATACAGCAGTCCTCACAGAAGCTGATGTATGATGTCACAGCCTCTGTGTACTCATCCAGACTATTGGTGGCGGTCCTGAAAACATCCCAGTCAGTAGTGTCCAAAAACACCTGAAGATCATCCACAGCATCACTGATCCACTTCTTAGATGAACTCACAACAGGTTTACAGAGCTTTAACTTCTGCCTGTATGAGGGAATCAGGTGGACGGTGGCATGGTCAGAGTGGCCCAGTGCAGAGCGGGGGGCGGCGTGATAGGCATTGTTGACGGTTGTGTAACAGTGATCCAGGATATTCTTCTATCTGGTCGGACATTTTATAAACTGTTTGTATTTGGGGAGTTCATGGGTGAGGTTACCTTTGTTAAAGTCACCAAGGACAATAACTAAGGAGTCTGGGTGAGTCCGCTCCACGCACAGTATCTGGTTGGTGAGCGACCAACACCGACCAGAATGAATGAAGCAAAGTCTCACGGGGGGAGTAAAAAGGTTTGTAGTTGATGAAGAAAGATTCCAGATCAGTAAAGCAGTGCTGCTGGATCACTGTCACATCATTACACCAGCCACTATTAGTGTAAAAACAGATACCTCCACATTTAGTTTTGCCGGAAAGTTCCGTGTCACGATCCGCTCTGAAGAGTTGGAAGCCTGCCAGCTGCAGCGCAGAGTCCAGAATCGATCCACACAGCCACGTCTCCGTGAAGCACAAAACTGCAGATGTAGAAAAGTCTCAGTTTTTCACTATCAGTAGCTGGAGTTCATCCAGTTTGTTGGCCAGTGAACTCATGTTGGAGAGAAATATACTTGACAGCGGTGTGCGGTGTCCGAGTTGGTGGAGACGCACAAGCACACCAGCACATGTCCCCCTCCTCTGGCGTTTCACTTCATGAGCAAAGGTGAGGGCACCTTCGGCCAAAAACCCAATAAATCCACCATGGGATAAAAATCAGCTGGAGTTGTTCCCCTGATGTTCATAACCTCTTCTCTGGTGAAAGAGATTCGGGAACTGACGCAACAAACACCTAGGCAGTCTTCCATGGCGCCATCTTGATCACCTTTCACAGTTTACAGAGCCACTTGATTCAACTTTGACTTATTAGACTAGATACACCCATCTTACTTTAGGCAGCCCCCATTCACACATACATATTGAAAATGCAACAGGTTGACATTAATTACAAATGAACATCGAAAAAAACCCTGGTGCATCCAACTGTGACATAAAGATGTTGACGCAACATAGGAAACTTGAAAAAGATTCAGAAACGCTGAAGTTTGGAAAAGAACTACACAGTTGTGCATGGCAGCATTAGAAAATAATATAGTCAGTGTTGATGTGAAATATCTGCTCTCTGGAAACCCACAAGTTTAGGTTTGTGAGAGGTACAAGGGAGCTCGCCACGCAGTCTGTATGTGTGAATGAAGTGTTATCACAGTGGAACAAGCACACAATTTTTTAGGTGCCATGTGGTTTCACATTTCATTTAGTGGTTCAGATAATCTATCTTAAGTGTTAGCTTCTTGCCTGTACTTCATTGTAGCCATGATCATGATCTCAGACCTCAGCATTAACTTGAGTACAGTGGGCCTCATTCACTAATATGTGTATAGAAATGTTCTTACTCTGTACATAAAATAAGTGTGCACACAAAATTCATGACACGTGTACACTGGCTGATTGCACTGTAAATGAGGCCCGATGTTGTCATAACCAACAAAACAAACCAGAATAAGACCATCTAAATAACATATCTTTAGCCGCGTTTTGACCCAAAGTTCCTGGGACACTTAGTTCCAGGGGCAACTTTTCAAGGAACTAAAAGATTTCTTCGGCCCATTGTTATCTGCATTTCCACGGGGTCTAAAGACCTGTGAAGATTACGCAAATTAGTCTGCTGACATGAAAAAGCAACATGAAGAGCAGAGGGTGGCTGGTGCTCGTAGTGAACACACTCCACAGCCCATAGTTCAGTGTGCCCCCCTTTTTCATCTAAAAAAGATGGTGGGGAAAAAAATACCTTAGGTTTTGTCATTTATTGCTGCATAGTCTATCACTGCCCTGCAGGTTGGAGGTAATGAATGAAATGCAGTGGAGCAAAATGAAACTAGAAATGTCTGTCTTCACATAAAATCATCTTTTGAGTGTTTGATGGTTATTTATTTGTGCTTTAGAAACCAGAAAACATTTTATTTGTCTCATTCGATGGCGTTCTCGCAGCACTGCAGTGCTGTCTCTCTCTCAAGCCACTGCCGTGAGCTTTCTTTCTTTTTCTCCTCTTTAAAATGAGGCAGCACAGCCTACGTTTACTTGTAATGTTATCAAACTAAAACAAATCTCTTTTCTCTCCTCCTCCTAATATGGTTCTACATCGATAGTTTAGTACTTCTTTGTTTTATGAATTAGCAGTAAATGAGTTGAAGCGGAGGCACTGTGTGTGATTGAACAATCATCAAATCCTGCCCTGCAAGTTCCTCTGCTTTCAGAAAGTACTACCCCCTGATCTGATCAGGGATTTTTTTTTAGATTGTTTTTTGCTTTTTGCCTTTAATTGACAGGACATTAAGGTGTGGGTAATGAGAGAGGGGATGACGTGCAGCAAAGGGCTGCAGGTTGGAATTGAACACTCTAGGAATCAAACCTGCAGCAGCTGCAGCAAGGACATTGTCTTTGTGCATGGGATGCCCACACTGCCAACTGAGCTACTGGGAGCACAGATCAGGGACTTTTTGAGGTGTAAAATAATATCCCAGATATTTATTTAGACCCTGGTCCCCAGGGTCAAAAAGGGACTGATTTATTATCTGTCCTCATTGGCTGTATATTCCCATCAGTGCTGTCGACTGTAAAACTGTCTAATCCCAGATGTTTCTGTTGTTGTCTTCTGCAGTGATTGTGGTTCTGTTCACTGTGTTGAAACGTCAAAGAAAGCAGGAGCCTCTCATCATCTCCAAGGAGGATGTCAGGGACAACGTGGTGAGCTACAATGATGAGGGTGGAGGTGAGGAGGACACCCAGGCTTTTGACATTGGAGCACTGCGACACCCGGATGCTGCCGCTGCCTTAGAGGAGTCTGCCAAACAGAGGCGAGACATCATCCCCACTGACACCCTGCTGTACCCACCACTCCACCGACCTCCCACCACTGCCTCTGGCTTTATCATGCCTCCAGTCAGCATGGCGTCAAGGGATAATGGGGATGTATGCGAGTTTATCAATCAGAGAGTGCTGGAGAATGACTGTAACCCCACAGCACCACCCTATGACTCGCTGGCCACCTACGCCTACGAGGGCACAGGTTCAGTGGCTGAGTCACTGAGCTCACTGGGCTCAGCATCGTCTGAGGCTGAGCAGGACTACCACTACCTGAGTGACTGGGGGCCCAGGTTCAGGAAACTGGCTGACCTGTACGGGGCTGAGGACAGTGACTTCTCCTAACAAACACAACACAAACACACACTTACTTCCATGTCACAGACAGGTTCAGAAAAGATTTTGACCAATGCAGGGGCAAGGACAGCGATGTCTAACCACCACAAACTCAATATTAGAGATTGTGGACATTATTGATGAGCTTTAAGAAAATCTGAGAACTTTTAAAAATACAGATGACACAATCCATATGATGAACCAAAACATGTATTGTCAGATGTTAATTCCTTTTCATGGGATATTCAAGAATATCACCTGATCCTTGACCTGTCTTCACTGCACATAGATCCAAAAAAGGAGCTCACCAAGTCATTCTCAAAGGGAGACAAAAGTTCTTAAATATCTGATTTTGGGCATGGGAACTGATGGATATAGAAATGTAAATTAACCAGCACAACTGTGGAGCCTAAAAATCTTCAGTTCCATCAGTGGTAACCTCTTCAAAGACTCTTTTCAGTCAGTTTTGAATCAACATTGGGCTGTGTTTTATATTGAGGATTGGGCTTAAAATACTTTCAGGCTTTGCTTTAATCTCTCCTGGGTTACCAAATCACCATTTTGCAGAGTGTTTCTTGTGGCTTTACAGTACATGTGCCATTCAAGGCAAGCTGAATGGAGGAAAGTGTTGAGAACCAATCAACAAAACCCCAGTGTAGTTTTTTCAGGAGACACACGTACCTCTGCAGATATGAATTGAAAAGTGTGGGGAAGACAAGTTTTATTTTTGGTTTTGACCAAGTGCCCTTCTGCTGCCCTTCGAGCTGAACTGCAGATGCCTGTAGGTTGGCTGAGACTGGAGGGTGCTAATGACTCTTACATGATTGCATTTTGTCTTTTTTGCTGTCTTGTACAAAAGGACCATTCCAGAGAAACTGTTCTGAAGGATCCTCACTCAAAAATTGCCTTCTTCGGGACACAAAGTAAAGAGAATACATCTTATTTGACTAAATGCACTGATTTCTTTATGTTTACGCAGGTTTTTTAAGATCTTTTTTTAGTTGTTTTTTTTGTGCTGCACCTAAACAGAGGATAACTGTTCATGGCATAATTTCTAGATTTTTAGCTTCTTGATTAAGTGTGTATTGTGTCAGAAATGTGGTTGAACTGAGTCACATTGGAAGTATACTAAGTTCCATAAATCTTTAATTTCACTGCTGTCTTTTTTCTATAAAAGAACACAACTTCAGATTAGAGATGCACCGATCCAGCTTTTTCAGTTTCGAAACTGATCCCGATGCTGTAGCTTTGAGTATCAGCCGATACCTGAAACCGATCCGATACCATGGTTAACCTAAAAAGCTATATACCTTTACATGTAGAACAGAAACTAGAAGCATCAGGCATTGATGACTACACAGTTCTTTCCTAAGATGAAATGAAACAAGATGAAACAGATTTATGCAATGAAGAACTATTTATTTTTAACAAATAATTATAATTGTGCAACAGCAGTTGAAATAGTATGAAATACCTCCACACAGCAGATTCTCTCCTTCGCTCCATGATGTATGATGTAGCTCGCGTTGCAATAGATTAAAAGGGAAAGGATCGCCTCAGGTATAGATTGCATTTTCCGATACCCGATCGATCTATTATGATGATATCGGGGGGAATATTCGATCCAGATATCGGATCGGTGCATCCCTAGTTCAGATATCATACAGACAGTATATTGAACAATGCTAAATAAAGTGTTTTCATTAAGAATATGTTTAATATTGAAATGAAGGACATGGGCAAGCCCTGCCTTCACAGTAGAGCTGTCACTTTTTATTCAGGGGTTTAGTCTACTGTTTGAGTTACAGTGAACTTACCAAACTCTGAATTACCAATGCTCAAGTGCATCAAGCCATTTGTTAGGCAAAGATAGTGGTTTTGGTTAAGTCTAATAACTGCAATTATTAATATTTTTATAATAACAACAATGGATCGAATGATTGTAGAGTCATTCTCTGGAGGCTCGTCACGAAAATCAACCCTTCTCACAGTACATTCAGAGTGTTGTAGTGTCTTTGAGCCCATTGTTTTGGTTTACCTGCCGGCAATATTACTGCTTTGATTGAGTCTTACCGCTCTCATTAACCTCAGTTTCAGCAGCAGGGATCTGGTGAACATAGTGGAGCATGTAGCAGCTAAAGAGACAGATATTTTTCTCAGGAGACCAAACAAGCGCTAAAAGGATAGATAATTATAGACATTCATCAGGTGGACACAAACATAACTCCAAACTAATGCTAATCATGCTCCACATTTGCTGGACGTAATTGCCTGTTTGCTAACACATTAGCCCTATCAAGAATGATGAGGCAACATGCCAGTGTTTTGTCAAATCAGTCATTCATCATTTGGGTAATTAGGCTTACTTGCAAAGAAGGGGGCCCAAGCCAACCCAGGTGGTGAGCAACCGAATTGGAAGGAGCTTTTGCATAACCGGGGTCGAAAGACAAGCATAGACACCCTCCTCACCACATTTCAACACAGCTGACATACACCCAACCCTTTTCACCAGTCGTTCCAGCAAGCACAGACCCTTGAAACGGAGCCCGACATGTCAGCCTGTTCAGTGCATCTGATGGGGGCTGTGTATGAAAACATGTTACACTGGCATAAATATCCCACAATGCAACGCAGGACAACAGCAGACAGTGTCCAAGGCAGCTCTGTAACATTAATAAATGCCTCTCTTGCTAGGAATAACTCTGACCATGAGTCTTCTGCCCTGTGTGCCATTTAGAAAACACTATATGAAGTATTGTGGTAGCGGTACCATTACACATGGATGGCATGGATGGCAACAAAAATGCCTGTGACATAACGTTATACAATGGGTTTGCATTTTCTAATGGCTGAGGTAAAGTTACTCCTACAGACATGATAAAGAAAACAAAAATATAAGAGGTTCATAGAATAGAATAGAATATACTTTATTGTCCCCTAGGGGAAATTTGTCGTGGACTCGAGTGCATACACCAGCTGCCTTGCAGACAATAAATATACACAAAACAGCAAAGACACAGGAAATGGCAAACATACACACTCATAAGACACAAACCAGACAAAATGTGAAAAACAGACAGAACACCAAGTTATTGCACAATCCCCAATATTTCCCAGCCTTCAAGAGCTATTTAACAGTTTGATGGAATTAGGAATGAATGAGTGTTTGAAACGGTTCAGTTTGCATTTGGGAAGTCTGTACCTTCTGCCAGAAGGCAAGAGCTCATACTCAGGATGAAGGGTGTGAGACGGGTCTGCCAACACCCTCCGTGCCTGCCTGAGTACAGACTGCTCATAGATGGACTGGAGGGAGAGCTTTTCAGTCCTCCCCATCACCTTCATAGCAGTCTGTACCAGGCGCTGCAGCTTGGATTTGGACTGTGAGGAGAGGTTGCCGAACCACGCCATCATCCCGTACCTGATAACACTCTCCATCACTGCCTGATAGAATAAAAACATAACCTCAGCCTGCGCAGAAAATACAGCCTTTGCTGTAAACGAGAACATACATGATCCACATGGTAATTCCAGGGGAAAAGGTTCATGGTGCTTGCAGAGGCCAGTAGAGCTGAGGTTGGCACAAGTTATCATGTGTCTCCAACAAGCTATGAGGCCAGTTGTTTATGTAGTGCATGTGTGATTTCGGAGGCAGTGTATTTCTTAGCTGGGTGCAGTAACATCACAGGGTCTCCCCTTGTTGCCTGGTGACCTCATGATGATGACAAGACTCCAAGTGGCCAATCAAGCAATAGATGCAAATTTAACGCAAAACTGAGGTTTGATGCAGCTGCCTTATAGTCAATACATTTACATTGGACAATTATGTGGCGCTACGGTGATAGCTCGACTAGGCCATTTAATGTGACTACTATCCTTGTCCCTTTTTATAAGCACGGGAGGGGAATCGATTTATTGACCAAAGTATGTCCGACTCCACTACCATCAGTGGTGATATGCGCCCTTTTGGCTTGTTGGTATTGGACCTTTTTCCAGTTGAGCTATTACATAACAGACCAAACAATCGACAAACAAGTTGAAGTTATCTTCAAACAGGTACCATGTTGGACAGCTTTACAGGTCTGTGCATTTGGTATGTGCTGCATGCTTTACTTTTTCTTCTCTTTTTCTGTTGAGCATTTAATGCTATTTGACTTCCAAGCCAAAGCCTGGGGCAGAAACTGTGGAGCATGCGCAGAGCGCCTAGACCAGTTTGGGTCTGATTGACTATACAGTCAATGTCATGTAGGAGTAATTTGACTCAAAATCACATTACGTGACTTTGAGAAGTTCTATTTAGTACGATTTTAGTCGGACTAACACAATAAATCAATTTTCTCTAATGTCATATAAACATGAGTGACATTATCATGACAACAAATCCAAAGTCATATGGTAGCTTGTATCTCAAGAGACAGTGGAGACATCACAGATAAACAGAACGTCATTTTTTTTGCATTGTACCACAAGCTTAGATTTTGGCTCTGTGGGTTGTATTCAAATAAATTTGAACACATTGTGTGTTAGGGCTCATTCATTTGAAGCTGACCTTTTGAAAAAGTGACAGCTCTACTTCACAGCTAGCATTGCAGCTTGAATGTTTTTCAGTGACTGATAACTTCATTTTCAGCTTTACATTACTTCATGCTCGTACCTGCTTTCTCCCATGTACTTTTAGAGTTGAGGATATGATCCAGATGTTTTTTGCCAAAAGGTGTCCTGGCACAAATTTCACTTGTTGCATTGTCATAGAAAAGAAAAGAAAAAACGCTTTCCTTCTTTACTGGATTGTTTGCTTAGTTTTATTCAGCCCACCTTATGTCTCATTAGAGACATAAGGTTTTGTTGTTAAATGTTGTAATTAACTGACACTGGGAGGCAGTTTATTCATCATTTACTTTGATGTCACAGTAAAACATCATAATCACAACAGTCAACCTCAGTGCTATGTTAAAAATAACATATTTCAAGTGAGGGACAAAACTATGAAGTCAGGATCATTTAGTGATTCAGACTTTTTGTTATCCTGAACTGATATCAGGGGTCTGTATTGTGAGTTTTCATTCCGGCAGCAGTTTGTTCCAGTTGTGTTTTGTGATCGTGGTCTGCTCTGAAGGCTTTAAACAGAAATGTCCACATATTTTTCTTTATATTTTAATTCATTCTTTTTTGTACCAAATATTTATAGGACACACTGATGATATTCTTGGAAAGAAAAAAAAATCTATCCAGCTTCACTGTTTTTTAATGTCATTTTGGAGGTGTAAAACTCGCTGTGGGCAGTCTGCTGTCCGTATATGATGTATTATCAAGTTGTTTAATTTTTATCAAAATAAAGTTTTACAGTGAGAGACACAGCCATGGGAAACCATGTTGATTATTTGTTACATCTGTCTCTTCTGCTAACCTTACTCATTAGAGGTGCCTGTAACTCTGAAGTTACTCAACAGTAGAGAATGAAGTCACCACAGAGAGGGAAAAGTACAGGAAATAACCCATTCTGCGTTCCTCCTTCTTCCAACTCCAACAACAGAAGCTTGGGTCTGAAGCTCTGTAAAAAGCATTGCCCGCAGCTCATTTATCCCCAGGGGGTTGTCCTGAGGGTTAATCTGACCCAGTGCATGCTGGGAGAGGCTCCGACCCCATGACCCTGAAAAGGAATAACAAGACCCTAAAAGCAAATCTACAACACTTCCAAAAAGTCAAAATGGATGCACTTTTCACACAAGATTTTGAGTTTTCTGACTGAATGAACATTGGTAAACGAAGGCCTACCTTATCAACACTAGCCATACTTGATCAAACTGTTGCTACTCAACATTACAAAACAAATATTTGCCACATCTGGCGAAAGTCAACAGGCAACAGGCATAGGATATTTACATCTTTTGGTTCTTGAAAATAACACTGTGATTATTTTTCTTTCTTCTCTGGCTTCACGTGGCAGAAAAATCACCAGCTCAGTCATTAGACAGTTATGATCACTATGGTTACTGCTACAGGCACAGGCACAGCTACCAGCTCCTCTTAGGACCCCCGTGCCTTATGGTGCGTTACATTTACATTGGAAGTCGGAACTCGGAGCTCCGAACAATGTAACCTCTGAACTGAGCGTGACATGCAACATTTTGCTTGTAGATGCTAGATTTCAATGCTTTTCTGACTTCAAAACTCCAACTTACTAGTACAACTGAACGCACCATTAGTCATAGCACAAACACCGGGCTATCAATGGATCAGCTGTGCAGTGTTATTAACCGAGAATTACGTGGAGAATTGAACACCTTGCTTTCCCAACTCAGCAAGG